CTGTATCGACAACATATGATGGTCCTTTCAGATCGAAATGATATGAAATCATGTTTGCGAGTGTAGATTTGCTACATCCAATAATATTGTGACCTCCTAACTAATAATAAAATCTTATCACATTATAATTTCTTATTCTTAAATAATAAAAACAATAATTCTTTATTATTATACTTATATATTAATTAATAATTGTCTCTACCTGAGTGGTATTGTATAAAGAGAATTTTTGAAATTCAGTATAAGATGTCGCCATAATTACAGCAGTATCTTTTCCTCGTAATTGCTTCGGATTGATTCCTGCGTCGATTATTGCTTCATGAGAATATTCCAGTAACATTCTCGCTTCGGGCGAGAGTGTGTGTGCTTGCTCGAATGATAATCCGAAGAAATTTGCATCAAATTTATTTATATTGTTAATTGTTCCCATTTTACTTGGAATTTCCGGATGGTCTAATAAAAGATAAAACAAGACATAACATCTTTATTGAGTATCTTGAATAGATATATTCACATAAAGATAATATATCTTGTTCATCTTTTTATATAAAATTTATGTTTGGAGTATACTTTTTTACTATGCAAGTTTGAGAAATAATGCATTATTTGTAATACCATTACTGTTTTCGTTACTATTTATCTATCTATAACAATAACGGTGATGTCGTTATTTTTATAGTAACGATAACGAATTTGCCGTTATTTTTCGGCAAAGTTTCATTGCTTTAGTTTCCTATTATTTTTATAACTATTCAATAGATCGCGTGCATTATGCAAATACAATGTATTTACAATATATTATATGTATGTTATATAAAACCAGAATTATATGTGCAATAAATATAGTGATAAAATATGTATTTACTTATTTTATAATTATTTTCACTTATTTTTTGTAAATATTTTACATTCTCTATCTTTTAGGCTATACATTCCGATATAGTCACTATTCGCAACAAATAATCTTTAGCATTTATACCGCGTCGCGGGGGAGTGAGGGATTTTAATAGATGCAAGTGATAATCAGAACTTATTAAATTGATTATCAACTTAATAACGTGATAATACTGTTCTGTTTCAAGCAAAGAGATGTGTTAAATCCGAAAGTAACGGCACGCAGTTCGTTGAAACTAGAATATGTAAAATTGTATGTAAAATTCACACTGAAATATTAGAAGCACCAAAATCCTGCAATTGACCGTGCATTGGCCTTCTCTGTATTTATTGTGTTTAAATTATTTTATTTGTAGAAAAAGTACATTTTTTATTTTTTTATTTATTAAAAGTTATCTTACCCGCATATGGAAGCAAGATAACAAAATTGACACGTACTTAAAAATATAAATTTTAAAAAATTTCTATTTTTTTAATTTTACTATATTTACTATTATATTATTATTGTTATTATTATTATTGTATTTCAATGCACACAACTGTCCAAATACGCAATGACAACAATTCACGAAGTACTTAAGCGCAGCAAAATAATTAATCAACATCGCGGAGCAATAAACTTCGATAGATTCGACTGTCGATTTAACATGCCTTTTTAAAAGATAACAATTAATTAGTAATGATTATCAAATAATTAAGATGAAAAACGTTAACATAGTCAAAATGGATGTCAGCGCTTAATATTTTTAAATGTGAATCTTACAATCTTCAGTTCAAACAAACTGTGTGCCGTAATATATAATCGTCGGTTTTAAAACACAGCTCCTATATAACTGTCAACTGAAGGGTACGTAATATCACAATTACATTTACAAAACAATTTAATAAATTGGTGCTAACAAGCATCTATTAAATCCTGTGAAATAATTTATTGCGAAAAATATTACCTCAATCAGAATTTTAACTTGGACCTTTCTGCTATCCGGGTAGCTATATGTTCTTACAGTTACTACCAAGACATGTGATAATATTTTTCGCAATAATTAGTAAATTTAGGAACAACATCATTCAACGATGACGTGTAGACAAACAATGATTAATCTGAATAAAATGTTTCAAATAAATAAAATGAGCATACGTCAAAGCGATTCTTGATGTTTAATAATATATGTTTAAATGTTAATGTAAGCAAACTAGTGCAGAAGAAGTGGCATATTCTATCTACAAATCAATCATAAATATAAAACTATAATATAGAACTATATAAACATTAATTAATTACCTAGTTTCCATCGCTCATGATCTGCTCTAACAAGATAAAGTTTATTAAATAAATTTTCTCGCAACTTATTAACGTTATCTGAATCAGGAAATCTGCCAGCAATACCAGAAATAACAATCTGCTCGGAGTCAATATCGTTCCACGATGTAGATGCTTCTGTGCTACTCATGATTTGTAATTATTTTTTCGGATTATCTAGAAATAAAGTAAGTCTACGTGTATTTTACACATTTAATTTTTTTACTTATTTCATACTTGTCAATTGTCAACTAGTTCTAATTGTTCGTAACATTGTGATATCGTTTGAATTGAAAATAAGAAATAATTCTACTCACTTTAACGACTCTTCGTGTAAACACTAACTCAAACTATTGTGACTATTTCAACGTAGATTCTTGCGATTTTATATCTATTGCAATCATCATATTCATTAATTTATTCATTATTTTAATATTAAGCGTCTTTAATATTCTTTTGTAATGTTGTAATCAAAATACTTCCGTTTAAATGGAAATAGAAATAAAGAGGGAAATGGAAGAAGTGAAGAGAGACAGACATAGAAATTACATTTGTAATACAAAGTATAAGTAGATTTTTTAAATGAAGCGGCGTACAATAGGCAGTAATTGTAATGAATTAAGCGTTAGGAGTAAACTGTAGGATTAAAGTCTTCTTGTCCGAGCATTTATGACATATAAATAAAGGTTATAATAAACCAATGTGAAAATTGCATCAGTCCCTATTGCGCGCGTTTCGTGTTACTGCTGAGCTCTCATTGGCTGAGAGTAAAAAAATAGCCGTAGGAAATAGATTTCAACTATTTCGGACTTACTCTACGTTCTATTACATCAAAAAATCAGCTTACTTCGACGTGTTACTCCTTAATCTATTACTGCCACTGCCCATTGTAGACGCCGCTTAATACATTTTAGTGATTTAAATATAGCTGAAAGAGAAGTAAGATGACGAATTGCTAATTTCTTAAACTAATAATAGATGACAAGCCAATACTGAACTCATTAAAGGCTTTAAATAACAATAAATAATGTCATATAATTTGATTTCAATCTGTTCCCAAGAGTGAAAAGATAATATAATAAGAAATGTATTTTAAATGGACTTGAATATAATTTTTAATGTTTAGTGTTATACACAGGAACATTCCTTATATATAATGCAATATAAAGTAATTGAAATTTAAACGTCTTTTTACATAACATTTGATTTTATGTGGTATTTAATTTTATATAAAATGTTAAATAATTATGTTTATATTAACTATTTTTTTCTGTTGATCTCTTTCTTTCATCGCATTAAAACTTTTTTATACTAAACCTTCTATTAATTTTTTAGTACAAGAATAATGTAAAAAATTTATTACAATTGTCTAGACCATTTTATTCGTAAAAATATTCGTAAAAAATATGGAAAATGTTTCCTTGAAAAGTATGGAAGTTCAACTTATAGACTATTCATCTTACTCATTATTAAAGATCATTCTACGCATATGGAAGCAGGATGTCACTTGAAGTCGACCTTTAAAAATCTGAATTTAAAATGTTGTAAAATTTTCCTTGAAAAGTATGGAAATTCAACTTATAGACTATTCATCTACTCATTATTAAAGATCATCCTACGCACGTGGAAGCAAGATGTCACTTGAAGTTGACCTTAAAAAATTAAAATTTAAAAAAATTCTAATTTATTTAAT